GAGAAGTTTGGACTTCTTTTTATGTGCTTTCTGCTGATAACTAAGACTGGCTGTACTGTTTCATTTGGAAAACAACTTCCATGACAGTAGAGTTATGTTGGTATGTTGCCTGAAAAATGGGTGACTTGTATGCATGTCCATGTACTATGTACACATCTCCTAATACTTACTACCTGCACTCTATGGGTTATTTCTTGTGCTTAATCGGAGCCAATGGATCTTCTGTATTGCCTGTGGGTAACAAAGATGGGACCCTGAATAAGTCACACATTCCTGTCAAGTTCCTTAAAAAACAAAAATACAAACCTCTCTCTTCCTTCTATGTGCGCTCTTCAAAAAAAGAGGGGAAAAAAAAAAGGAATAAAAAAAACCCCAAAGAAAACCAAAACCCCTAACCTTACTAATTCTTAGCTTCTAACCAGTCTTCTCAAAGCAAAAAAGTTGGGGCAGATTCTGTAGGAGAGGAAGTGTGGGTTTTGTTTGGGTTTTTTGTTTTGTTTTGGTTTTAACGCACACGCGCCCCCCCCCCCCCCCCCCCAAATAGTGTTTTAAAATTTGTGATTTCCACTATGCACACAAGAGCACTTTGCTCATTTTCTTTAACAAAAGTCACTTAAATTACTATTGAGATGCTGATACTCATGCATGCTATCACTTTCCAGGTATGATTGAACATGGTCTTACTGACTGCTCACAGTATAGACCAAGAAAAAGCATATCGGAGGATGCTGGCTTGCAGGAAAATACACCACGGTTAGATGACTGTGTTTCTGTGTCTGCTGCTGATACTTCAAATACAAACTTAAGAATGGGAAAGGGAGGCAGGAAGATGTCAGGAAACTATTCACTGGAAGGTCAAAAAGCAAATGTGCCTTTCTCCCAGTCAGAGAAGACTTGCAATGGAGCTCAGTCCTCCAATAGTACTGTGCAGCGCTTGAAAGTTCCTTCCCGCACTTCTCCAGCATCCTCTGAAAGTGACTGGGAGACCTTAGATCCTAGCATTTTGGAGGAGTCTAATTTGAAAGAAGGAGAACGTGAAAATACAGCATCAGAACAGGCTGAAAATATTCCTAGCGAAGGCATGAGCTCAGAAAGCCTTCCAATCACTGTGCAGCCCCAAGCAAATACAGGACACACGGTGCTTGTTCCAGGACTGATATCTGGGTTGGAAGAGGACCAGTATGGTATGCCGTTGGCTATTTTTACAAAGGTAAACTTGTTGTTCATGATACCTGGTAACTCATAAAGACATCTGTTTTTCAGAAGTGGCTAATAATTTTGGTTACCCAACTCCAAATGGACAGTAGGGTGCTACAAAACATGTAAGTACAGTCTCTGGGAAGTGACTGTGTTCATAGGCAGGTGAAAAGCATGAGTGCACGTCTGAGAGGGGTGTGCGCACGCACGCGTGCATTCCACTTTTCTTTCATATGTATACTTACATACTGTTTGCAATTCTACGTGATGGTAACCTGCAACCCCACTGTGGTTAATAAATGCTATGTATCAGTAACTACTGTTTTCTTTTACTCTGAAAAATTGTTGATCTAACGTATATGGGGCAAGATCAGAGTACTTAAGAAGTGTTTAGATACCTTAATCTAAACTAAGATTCTGAAAGCTATATCTTAGCTGACACCTAAGCCTATGTTTTCCTCTTTCAATTTTTATACATATATGTATTTATAAATTTGTATGTGTGTATATATGCACAAAATGTGTATATAAATGTGTGTGTGTATATACAGACACACAAAAATATAAATATATATATTTGTAATTTCACCCTTCTTTACATGATAACTCTTCCTGGTTGTCTGTGGCT